CCCCCCCCCCCCACTACCCCGGTTCTTCTGTTGCCCCCTTTTTCTCGTGTCTGCGACACACGGGGAACGTTGTGCGTTGCACGTGTTGTGGTGGTGTTTTTAGGCATGCACACCACGTTGGCCTTCATCACACTGTGCAGGTGAGCAAGCGGCAGGAGAAGGACAAGGACTCGAGAGACTCGCGAACTTGTCCGCCTCGCATTCACGTTGCGGGGAGTTGTCTACTATTTCTGCGAAAATCGACGGAAAACCCATCCCAGATACTCGCCTATTGCCCTGAGACAGCAGTTGTTAATGGTTAACATGAAAGCGGTTCGTTAGTTACCGACCCTGGCGTTTGTTCGAAAGGCACCAAATCCCTTGCACAACTGTGGGCTCTACCATGTAAAAGTGCAGGAGGCGTTCGTGGCTGTGAGCGGGGCTTAGAGGAAAACAACTTTTTCGACGGTGGGAACTTGCAAGCTCTTGGGTTCCCTCAAAACGTGGAAGCACTGTAACTAGGCCTTCGTCGCAGCTACGGTACTTGTGCAGACGTAGGTGAAGGTAGTTTTTAGAAACAGACATGTATGATAACACGCGCTTACGATTCTGGATCCGTGCTACAAAGCACTTCTATTGTTGACGGAGCCGTGTGGTTTCTGCGCTACACGTGGTCGTGCCATGTGCTCTTGAGGTTCAGAAGCAGGCAGCTGGTGAGCCCTCTCGAACGCGTGCTTGTCTTCCGTGTCTGTTTCCTGTTTGTCCAGGGAAGAATCGGGTGACCACCCCGGCGACCACAAGCTGCTCACCTGCAAGGATGCCCCGCAAGACGTACAGGTGAGGTCGAACTGGATTATATGTGCCGCCAAGCGGCATGTTGATTTTTTTGTTAAACGTTTAACTCCAGCTTGCCTTCACATCACATTGCCCGCCTGTAGACAGGATGATTCATTGTTATCTTGTGTCGTGGCACATGCCAGAAAAATATAGCATCTCGGCGTGAATACTTGTTTGAGGCCGTGGTGTCGTTTTGTCCTGGGGGCCGTTTTTGACGCACACCTTCTGTCCTATTCTGGTAGAAAGAGTGTCAAATATCGTGGTGTGAAAACGTTATCAAATGTGTTCGCCGGTACGGTGTGTCTCCTGTGTAGCGTGAACTCATCCCGATGCTGTCTGGTCATGGTGTCGGGACACGAGCCTTGTTTGTCTTCGTCGAGTCTCGTCGGATTTGAACGACGGTTGTTCCGAAATGTGTTCGACGCAGGACTCTATCTGGCACTGGGCTGTGGCTCGGCTTTTGCTAATCTTGTGGGAGCACGACCACGAGATCATCCGCCACGCACACAACTTGACCACGGATGACGAGGTGAGGAACGAGCGACTGAATGGAGGGGTCTTCTCCCTCTTGTTGGTTTGCCGCACCTTGCCGAAGAGTCGCATGCACCGGACGCAAGCGGTTTGGATTGGCCTGAGGATTGCGTTACGCCATGTTCACCTCTTTACCCCTCGGGGGCGTGATTGACCGTGCTGTTCTGACCACCCTTTGGCTGTTATTTCTGGTGTTCGCCGAATGTGAAGGTTTGAGTTCTATACAGAACTACGAGCGATTGATGGCATTAACGACCAACACAAGCAATCCGATCCGAGGCCGTGTTTAGGCTTTACCTAGGGGATGAAAGTGTTGTGCCATGTTTGGTCGTGAACAGGCATAAACTACAGGGCTGGGTAGGAGAGAGCCCCGTATCGTTGTTGAAAAGCAGATTAGCGGACTACCTCGGAAACCCTACAGCGGTCAGTTCATGTTAAATCCGGTCGTTTGTCGGTACATGATGCGCCATATATATTTCAGACAGCGTGTGCATACAGTTGCACCGTACCGGAAAGCCCAATGGAACACAAACGACGGTGTGGACCTCAGGCTCTGTAGATGAAGCTGTCGCTCTCTGGAAGAAACACAAGATCGTGGCAAGCGATCAAAATCGAAATAAAGATGAAGAAGAAAAGTACCGATAGTCTGTAGGGTGTAGGGTGGAGAGAAGATAGAAAAAGGGGTATCTGGGTATATCTGGGCTAATCTGCCCTTAGTAAACCCCAAGGTACGTATGCAACGGGTCCCCGTAGAGCGTCAAGCTTTCGCATGTGTTCATGGAGTCCATCTTCGTGTCGATGCACCTCTGAAACTATCTGTTCTTGTTGTGGGTCCTTCCTTCCCTGTCAAAACTCTCCTTAACTCTCGTTTCAGGTGTGTGAGAAGCTCATCGCGTACGCGCGCAGCTCGTTGAAACGTTTCGACACGGTTGAAGACACGACCGGAAGGGTGCTCGCCGGGGGAGTGGCCAACCGCTGGAACACCCGCCTGAAGGTATGTCACGTACCATGGGCATGTACCGTGGCATGTACCTGCCACGAGGCATCGGGACTACTGTATGCGGGCTTTCCTTGCCTTGTTCTCGGTGGCTGTGACAGGCTGTCTTGGAACTGCTTCTGTCGAGCCTAGCTGGCTCCAGAGGTTGGTTGATTGGGCATGATTTTATTTTCTGAGGTTATCCTGTTCTGATGCATGCTGGACGCCATTTCCGTTGCTGTATGTATGCATTTGTAGGTGGCTCTAAACTACCTGGACAGCCAACCGAGGCCGGGCCAGATGGAGGCTCGCCTCCTCAAGATGTCTGGCGTCAAGTAAGTGTTGGAATAATTGTACGCTTGTACCGCGGACGTTACGCGATGTGGTTTTAATTTGTAATAGCAGGGGGGCATGACGGAACGTCGTTTAGTAGACCGTTAGTCTGGGCTGTCGATGTTCCTCCATCTATCTGTGAGTCGAAGGATCAAAGCGTCAGTTCGTCAGCGCGTTTAGTGTGGTACTGTTCCTCCAACTATGCATTCATAGGATTTAAATATGGTTACACGTAACCCGTACACCTGTGTAGGGTTTTAGAGTGCGGTACTAGAGCTTACTGTATTCACTTTCGAATATTGATTTTTACTATTGCACACTAAGTCCCATCAATAGACCATCCATTCGGCTGGATGAGCATCACGAAAAACACGGGTGCGGAGGGGGGGGGGGGGGGGGGGTGTACTCATAGTCGTGCATGCCGTAGTCGTTAGACCATTGACCTCGCATCCCTACAAAGCCGGGACGGAGCACGCCGGGTTCTCACCGGACCAGGCTCTCTGGGTGCGGAGGGGGGGGGGGGGGTTAGCTCTGCTTACAAAATTGTAATCCTTGTACCCTCTTCCGCAGAACAATTTCGTATCATTGAGTAGCCGCCGCCCTGCATATTGGTGGTATTTTGCTGGTGCTTTTGGTACTGACTAGCGTGGTCGCGTGTTGTGCTCGTTCGTTGTCGTTTGTTATGGTCGTTACACCAGGTACACGGATGTGGTGAGCAGCGTCAAGACCCTCGTCGAAGACAGCCACCGCTTCGTCGGGACCGCTCCCGTGTCACAGCCCTGAAGTGGCAAACATGATGTCATGCGACACATGATATCATACGCGCATGTGATGTTATGTGACCCGATGGCATTTGCATGGAGGTGCATTGCTCCGTCAACAAGAACAACCTGAGCATCCTCATGCAAGCCAGGACGGGAAGCAGCCATGAGTATAGCTTAGTTGCTGCAGGCTATGGCGTAATGAACAGTTTGCGAAGAGCCCAATGATTTATACGTGCTTAGGTACAGTAGGCCTTCGCTGTTAGGCGGGAGGACACAACGGTAGTGTGTCCACAAGTATGCAGCAGAGGAAAGGCATTTGCCGTGGTTGCGCAATGGTGTAGTGCAGCCTGAAATGCTGAGATTCACCTGGACTTGCCCGGACGACGGCGAGGTTTGTAGGACGGGGTGGGTAGGCCAAGCATTAGGTATACTCTACATGACTCGACACCCGGTAAGCGCGAAATATACATACCATACCGTAGGGCGTTTGGCCACCGGGGGCGTCAGTGCTGGGTTCACGATTTCCAACCCCAGCTTCGGCCAAAATGTCATGCCGGTCCATCCATCAGCGAAAATACGTTCCGAGGACACGTGTGGAGTCTCTCTGGTTCCTTCCGTGACTTTTCTTTGTAGTGCGATACTTGCGTTATTCGTTCCAATGCACGCGAGCGCTTTTGTCAGTCAGCCCTTCACCAACTCCGCACCTATAACCAAAAGGGTGAGTTTTCACGCGTAGGACTTGGCGTTTTTCAGGTGATCATCACTGGGATAAAATTTCGCTCGTGTAGGCTGTGTTTTTCTCGCGCATCGTAAGAGTATTGGCGATTACATACGTACACAACGTGCGCAATTCGATTGGGTAATTCGATTGTACTCGGTTGATGGGGTGGCGGTGAATGGACTTGGTCCCGTTTATGTTGAGTGGCAGTTCCAATTACGAGGTCCGCGCGTGCGTGTGGCAATGTTTTGTGCTCGTTGGGTGTCGATGAACGGGATACAAGTATGGTGACCATATGTACACGGAGCGCACGTTCAGGATTCAACTACACGAGTTACATGTACACATACATGTTGAAAAAAGGCAGTCAAGAAACGGCAGCGCGGTGTTGGGAGTGTCTCGCGCAATCTCCTTACTGACCCTGTCTTTCCTGATCCCTTTGCATCTCTCGATCATCTGGTCCCTTCACCCCTGAGTACCAACCGGATGTGCCAGAATCTGTGTTCATTCTCCTGTTCGCCTTTATTTGTTGTGTCGATCGCTTCAGTTTCAAGGCCAGGTCCTCCTTAGGGCACGAACACCGTCTACCCTACGCACACACGGCGCACCTCGGCGTCAAGTGTTGCCATGCCGTTGCGTTGTAACAGTGTACGACTGGCAGGCATTGCTTGGTCTGCATGATGAGACGAACATACAATGACCGCTGACAACCACAGGTGTAATGTGTGAGGTCCACGTGTCCTGCGGCACAGGCAAGTATCGGTTATTTTTCTCCTTCTCAAGCACTAAACTCTTCTTAAAGAACTCAATCTTTCTCCCGAAGGTCTAGAGCTGTGATTGTTTCGCAATACACGTCGGAAGACGCTCGAGGTAAGTTTAGCTGCACATGCATCGTAGACTACATGTGCAGCAGGGTCGAAGACGGATCCATCAGGATTTCAACAGATGGATCCCACTCATCCATACTCTCCCCCCTTCGTCTAAATGCAGTATCACATTGATCACCAATACCCCTTTTCGGCGGCTTTCACCTCTGCTCGAGTGTATCACACGCATATATGTAAGCAGATATTGACGAAACAACGTTTGGTTGATGCTCGAGTGTTCAAGCGACGCAAATACATTGGACTGGAGTAGTTGTTTCCCCCCATCGTCTACATGAGTGCCAAAACCGATGTCTCGTACAAAGAGGTGTCAACCCTGCACGTTGTTTGAGTAGTACAGGTTCTAAACGAGACTGAAGCACACCGACATTCATCCGCAGCCCAGCCGAAAAGTGGCGAGCGTTGCTGCAGGCTAGGGCCCGTTCCAAAACGCAAATAAACGCAATACAAACGCAAAAACTGACCTACCCCGACATATCATCATACCGTCCCATCCCCTTCCGAGACTCACCTGTCGAAGGAGTCCGCGACCTGGAAAACGTATTGGTCGTGTTCACCCCGATATACCGCTAAATACTGACCTGTCTCTTTCACTATCTATCGGTTCGGGCCGTCGATGGCGGCACCAAAAAAATCACACAAGCACCGGACGACAACAAGCTCTACAAGACTGCTTGCAGTTCAAAGTAGTAGATACCTCTGGTTTTTGGTTTTGGAAGGGCTGCTCTTGGTGATCCATAGCGCACACAGCTTTCGGGTTCCTATTTCCCTTGTACCCTTTGGGGCGCGCTGGGCATGTCCTTGTTCTTAGTGTCTTGTCGGCCAAACAATCGCGACACCTACATTAGGTTCTAAATAATCTTCGCAACAGATTTATTTCCCTCCTCTACTGGCCCCGCAAAAATAATACATGTAGAACGAAGGCAGGCAATACCAACCATAGTCAACAGAGAAATATAAAAAGATTCGGCAAAAGGATGTCAAATTCAAACGTGATGCTGTTTACTGTATCAAACCGCAGCGAGATCGTCCATTCTTGTTGTCATATTGTGACACCGTCCAAGCACCCGCCGCCGAACTTCGTTCCTGAGCACTGGCCGGTCTTCCACAGCCTCCTGAGGCTGCCACAGCTGTAATAAACTTTTGGTTGACACCATTATTGCGCCGAGCGCAGATCATCTATGGCCGTTTCTCTTTCAGGCGGGTCCGCACGCCCCCCCGCCCACACAAGATAGCAGATCCGCTACAACCACTTCCACATCCGTCTGCTCCTGGTCGTCACCGTACTGATCCCAGAGTACGAAGTTGCAATCGTCGTCGACGTCCACAAGCGCGTGTTCGTGCTGAAGAATGGTGACGTTGAACGGGTACTCGAACGTTGCTGGTACCCCCAGGCTCAGCCCGTCGGTTGTGGTCACAGCCTCAATGTAGCGCACAGAGGCCCTGTTCGGCGAAGGGTTGTTGGTGAACTTGATGTCGAAAGAAAAATCGACGACCGCGAAAGCGCCGGTCCAATAATCAGGTTCGGAAACTGGTAATTGATGGACGGGAAGGAGACAGAAACAAACAAAGCGGACGAACAAGGTTACGGGGTGAAGGGATAGCCCACTAGACGAAAGGAATGGCGGAAGAATAAGGCCTGATTTCGGCCCGGGCATGTAGCAGACGTACTGGACGCCACGAGATTTCATGTGTACTACAGACGGCTTCATATCGTTGCCAGCAGCATGGACTACAACGTACTGTCGTTACAATTGTTCAGACTCCGAGGAGATTTTGTGCTTTGTAGACTAATCGTTTCGACTTCCTCTTTCGCAGCCTGTCAGGCTCCAGGTTCGTTGCATTATCCGTGCGGCGTTATTGTCCGCCGTCTGACGCGGCGTGGTGCTCATCGTCCATCGTTCTTTCTGTCCAATTCTCGCCAGACACTACTGGCCAGGCCAGGGAAAATTCTCATCGACACATTGCTGGACAAACAAACGTCCTCTTCCCTGCCTCAAGACGAGCTCTAACGTTCAATGCAATCTATTAGTATTAATATGTTGGTGGGGGGGGGGGTTGTACTCATAGTCGTGCATGCCGTAGTCGTTAGACCATTGACCTCGCATCCCTACAAAGCCGGGACGCAGCACGCCGGGTTCTCACCGGACCGGGCTCTCACATCACCAAGCGCGAAGCGCTGTGAGATATTCGGCGAGTCGCATGAAGGGTGCGCTGCATCCTGCTGAGGGTGTTCGGCATCTTGTGCTTACTTCCTTACGTACGGATGATAGCTGCGTTTATTTTCTGGTGCTTTCACTTCCTGAGACAGTTGTAAGCACTGTGTAACTGCCTCGAGGGTGCTTGACCATCTTGACACAACGTGGTGCGATCATCCCCCTTGCGCGGAGTGAGGCTTCTCAACCCCGCACAACATGATCTACTCGACCACCACTATGGCTACCGCCAAAAAAAAACAGAGGTACAAAAAAAAACCGGTAACCTGGTTGCCGAGTTAACGAAGTGAATTGGCTTGTTTTACAACGTCGTTGCCAAGCGACGAAA